AAGTAAAGTTTTTCAGGATGTACGGAACTCCCGCGGTGCCAGTGAGAGAAATAAAACTAAATTCTGTAAAAGTATTTTTTTATTTGTTTGTTTCAGAAACATGCTCAGAGTTTTACAGTTTGTGTACAAAAACTGTTTTATCTGCTGGAGATGCTGAAACTGAGAAAAAAAAAACTAAACAAAGAACAGAGTTTATAAACTACAGTTACAGGATCACCCACAGATTAAAACAACATCAATTAATTTAATCTGGGATTAAACAAACTCAACATGTTGCTTTTTTTTCAACAAACTTTCATCATTTCCACTTTTCTTCCTATTTTACCATTTTATTTCATGTTTTGATCTTTTTATTTGTTTATTTTGGACTTTTATTTAAAAAAGTCAGAAACAACAAGAACCAATCAGTTTATTGTTTTTAATTGATGTTTTCAGGTTTTTTAATGAAAATATTGGGGGGGGGGGGGGGCAAAAAAAAAAAAACCCCCAGAGTTTTTCAGGTTTTTAAATCCAGTCAAACAGAAAACATTCGGGTCTCTGAACAACAACCTTCAGTTTCCTGTTAGAGGACAGACGTGACTGCAGCAGCATCCCGTCTAGAGTTGTCCTTGAACCACTTCAGAACCTGGTCCTGGTTCTCTTTGATCCACTCAATGTTGGCCTGGGTCCTCTCAATGGACTGGTCCAGGGCCAGAGTCCCAGAACCAAAACCAACAGCAGCGTTATCCTCCTTAAACTGCTTCAGCTGAGAGAGAGGAGAATTGGGTCAGAGGTCATTCAGAGGTCATTCAGAGGTCATCCAGAGGTCATTCAGAGGTCATCCAGGGGTCAGTCAGAAATCATTCAGAGGTCATCCAGATGTCAGTCAGAAGTCATTCAGAGGTCATTCAGAGGTCATTCAGAGGCCATCCAGAGGTCATTCAGAGGTCATCCAGGGGTCAGTCAGAGGTCATCCAGAGGTCATTCAGAGGTCATCCAGGGGTCAGTCAGAAGTCATTCAGAGGTCACCCAGAGATCATTCAGAGGTCATTCAGAGGTCATTCAGAGGCCATCCAGGGGTCAGTCAGAAGTCATCCAGAGGTCATTCAGAGGTCATCCAGGGGTCAGTCAGAGGTCATTCAGAGGCCATCCAGGGGTCATTCAGAGGTCATCCAGAGATCATTCAGAGGTCATTCAGGGGTCATCCAGGGGTCAGTCAGAAGTCATTCAGAGGTCATCCAGAGGTCAGTCAGAGGTCATTCAGAGGTCATCCAGAGGTCATTCAGAGGTCAGTCAAAGGTCAGTCAGAGGTCAGAGGTAAGTCAGAGATCATTCAGAGGTCAGTCAGAGGTCAGTCAGAGGTCAGTTAGAGGTCAGTGGTCAGTCAGAGGTCATACAAAGGTCAGTCAGAGGTCAGAGGTCATTCAGAGGTCAGTGGTCAGTCAGAGGTCATACAAAAGTCAGTCAGAGGTCAGTGATCAGTCAGAAGTCATACAAAGGTCAGTCAGAGGTCAGTCAGAAGTTATACAAAGGTCAGTCAGAGGTCAGTCCGAGGTCATACAAAGGTCAGTCAGAGGTCAGTCAGAGGTCATACAAAGGTCAGTCAGAGGTCAAAGGTCATTCAGAGGTCAGAGGTCAGTTGTCATTCAGAGGTCAGTCAGAGGTCATACAAAGGTCAGTCAGAGGTCAGAGGTCATTCAGAGGTCAGTGATCAGTCAGCGGTCATACAAAGGTCAGTCAGAGGTCAGTGGTCAGTCAGAGGTCATACAAAGGTCAGTCAGAGGTCAGTCAGAGGTCAGTGGTCAGTCAGAGGTCATACAAAGGTCAATCAGAGGTCATTCAGAGGTCAGAGGTCAGTCAGAGGTCAGTGGTCAGTCAGAGGTCATACAAAGGTCATCCAGAGGTCATTCAGAGGTCATACAAAGGTCAGTCAGAGGTCAGAGGTCAGTCAGAGGTTAGTGGTCAGTCAAAGGTCATACAAAGGTCAGTCTGAGGTCAGAGGTCATTCAGAGGTCAGTGATCAGTCAAAGGTCATACAAAGGTCATCCAGAGGTCAGAGGTCATTCAGAGGTCATCCAGAGGTCAGTCAGATAAATGAAGCTCTTCAGATTTCATCATTTTCAGATGGTTTTATTTTTGTTGAGTCAGCATTCTCTATTATATTTATCCTGTTTTGTTTATAAATGACTTCAGCAGACTTTGTTATTTTAGCTGTATCAAAATGTTCGGCTCATTCAATGGCGGCTGTGGTGGAGTGGTTAGGGGAGTCGTCCTGGAACCAGAAGGTCACTGGTTCAATCCCCCGTCCAGCCGTCTCAGTCGTTGTGTCCTTGGGCAAGACACTTCACCCACCTTGCCTACTGATGGTGGTCAGAGGGTCCGGTGGCGCCGATGCATGGCAGCCCCACCTCTGTCCGTGTGCCCCAGGGCAGCTGTGGCTACAATGTAGCTTACCATCATCAGTGTGTGAATGTGAGTGTGAATGGGTGAATGTCTGTTAGTGTAAAGCGCTTTGGGGTCCAGAGGGACTTGAAAAGTGCTCTATAAGTTCAGTACCATTTACCATTCAGGAGAGGAGAGCTGCGACTTTTGGTTTTTATAACTTTTATATTTTAAATAAAATATTTACCTGCATTTAAGGAAAAAACTCATAAAAATGTGTTAAAATCAATAAAAATATTTTTTCTTTGAAATTTGCTTCAGCTGCTCTGATTTAGTCTTTCTATGCTACTTTTAGCTTTTTACTGTAGTTTTTAGCGTTCAGCTACCATTCTGTTCCTTTCAGGCTTTAGCTACAGTTTGTAAAATTGTAGCTTCTATTTTGCTGAACTTTTATTTATTTAAGCTTTAATTTTCCTACTTTCATCTACGGTTTTGCTACTATTAGTATCTGTTCAGCAGCTTTAGTCTCTTTTTGGTTTAAAAAAATGAGTTAGCTTCTTCAGTTTTAGCAGGATTACTAAGATTCCTTCAGCAACAGCTAAAATCTGACCCCGTCAGAAGCTTCAGCTCCTGTTACCAAACAAGCTGCTGGAGTTTAGACACTGAAACGTTTGATCATGTTTTCTGACCTGCTGAAGCTCAAACTCGGTGGAAAAGCGTTTGGTGACTCCGTTGATGAGGTTGGAGAAGGAGAAGGATCCTCCACCGTACCTACGACAGAAGATCCAGAAGATGTGAGACAAAGGAGAAAGCTGAACGACGGCAAGATTATTTCTGCATCACAGATTTTATCTGATGAAAAAGTTTGTTTTTAGTGGTGTTTAGGCTCAAACATGACTCAGCAAACAGCTAAAGGCTGGTGGTTTAAACAGAGCTCTCCTCAACAGTCAGGCCTGTGTCAGGGACGACTTTCAGCTACTACCACACTACATCTGAACCTGTCAGTGAAGGCAGGGGTCTTCATCATTCTGTTCCTGAAGCCTCACCTGCCTCTCTCAGCCTGAAGCTTTCACAGAGCCATGAAACGAGTCCGACCAGCACATTTACAGTATCTACAGATGGCTTTATGAGGACTGAAGTTTACTGCAGGACCAGTTTGAGCAGCAATAAAAGCTGCGAGACAGAGCAAACATCCTGATAACAGAGTTTACCTGCTCAGGTGAGGACGGATTTATGAAGCTTCCCTTCTCACAGGTGTGATCGAACAGAGCTAAAACCTTCATGTGGAGACTAAACTCAGGACTTTAGCTTCATGTTGAGGCTGAACTCAGAACTTTAGCTTGTTGAGGCTGAACTTTAGCTTCATGCTAACTGTGTGTGTCCAACTCACTCTTTGTAGATGTACGACCACTGATGGCGGACAAAGTCCCAGGCCAGCGGCTGGCCGATGACATTCTGGGCGATGTAGACGATGGTGGAGGTGGCATCCTGCTTCCGGATCAGGCTGGAGTTCAGGGTGTGCTCCAGGTACCTGAGCAGGTGGGATCAGAGGGAAACAGTTTGTGTCGGCAGGTTCCAGTCTGTTAACGAAGCAGCTAACGGATCAAACCTGTTCAGGATCCACGGCTGTTTGGTGCAGGCCAGAGCAGCACGCAGTTTCTCAGCTTCTGTTGCCATGGTGGCTTTCAGAAACTCTGACCAGGCAAAGTCCCACTCTGTAGCGCCCCCTGCTGCGATGGCGTGACAGTAGACGGTGGAACGCAGGTTGGCGTGGATCCTGAAGAAAGAGGACGTGAACACATTGGAGCCGCCATCTTTACGACAGACTTGAAGAAAACCGTTCCACACTCACCTGTTGGTGCCGCTAGTCCTCCAATCCCTGAACCATGTGGTGACCAGAGTCTGACACTCCTCCAGACCGGTCCTGCACGCCAGATTGATGGCATTCACCTGATTATACCTGTAGACAGGTGAACAGCAGACTGAAAACTATCCCTGCAGCTGCAGAGACAAAAACTTTATTTAACTTAGTTTCAGGGGTCTTAGTTTGGTAGAAGAGGGGCATGAAGACTAAAAATGAAACTAATCTTTTTATTTAGTTTGATTATGAATCAACATTATGTTTGGATTAAAACCACAGAGACCAGACAGAGTCAGACTAATATGATGAGAACATGATGTGAGAATGTTAACAATGAGTCATAACTTTAGTTAAAAACCAGAGTTGTCTATCTGTTTATAGGAGGGTTTTGGTTCAAAGGTTCAGAATGAAAGTTTAAGTTTGACCAACGATGAAGTGACTCATTAAAACCCAGCAGGCAGCTCTCTGCATGTCCACAAACAGAAAAACCTGATTTAATCATCACAGAATCAGATCAGGACAGAACTGGTTTTAACACCACCACCAGACCAAGTCCAGACTGGTCTCTGGGTTCAGGTCTGTACTTACTGGTCCAGGTGTCCACTTGGAACATTGACCCAGTTTTCTGTCAGACCCTTGTAGTAGTTGAACAGCTCAGTGACCTGCTTCCTGAGGTAATCCTGCAGACAGAAAGAGTTCAGAAGTTCAGGAGAAGCTCAGGATCACCAGAGGAACAGTGGTGGACACCAGGAGGAGGACGTGCACCTGCATGGGGCCGTACACCTCACTGCGATCGAACATCAGGTAGAAGAAATCCAGGT